TCCTAGCTGGCTAGCTTTTTGGAGTCTTCTGCGATAGCAGAGAATTCTTCTGTGGGACAACGACTCATGTTCAGGTGTTTAAATATGTCATGGTTCTTTTTAAAACAAGTGTTAGATTGTGTGTGACGTGCTTCACAGGACTAGAGGACTCGCCTCCTGGGGAATTGGAGTTTCTTCAGGAGCTGACAGTCATCCAGTAAGATAAGAGTTAAGGGCTGTGGAACGTTAGCCGGCTCCTGACTACCTCTCAGGGAGCCCTCGCGACTCCACACAAAGTAGCCCCCGGGCTGAAAACACAAAGCGATTCTCTAGTGTCTGAGAGCCCGGAGCAGTTTGCCTTTTATACTTAGAGGCGCGCAAGTGCGCGCGACCGGCCGCTCGGAGCTGTAGAGCTAACCAATGAGCGGGCCCTCTCCCCGAGCCGGCTCGGGATTGGGAGAACCGAGCCAGCCTCTCTGCCTAGCAGCGGGCGGGGCGCGCCCAGGAGGGCCTGGGATAGGCGCGCCCGCTGCGCCAGAGTCCCGGGGGCGCGTGCGCGGTCTCGCGGCGGCCGCGGGGGCCGGTCTCGCGCGGTCTCGAGGTGGAGTCGCTGGCGGCCGCGACGGCGGCGACTGGCGGTGGGGCAGGGGCGGGGACTAAGGGTTGTGAGGTGGGGAATCGGGAGTTTCTGGATTCTTTATCCGGTATTTTAAGTGCCGCCGGGGAGCTGTCGTTTCTGCAGTGTTTAGGAACGGCCGCGGCAGGAGGATAGGCGGCCGCTGTGGTGCAGAGGTAAGAGGCGGGCCAGCGGCGACTCGGTGTGGAGGTCTTAATCAACAGGTCTCCGGAGCGCGGCGGGGGAGGGGCGGCCGGGCTCGCCCCCTCCCCCACACGCTGCGCGCTGGGCCCGGGAGGGACCTGGGGCTGCTCTGCGGGCTGCCTCAGGCAGCGGGAGCCGCCGCCGGCCGCGGAGGGTGTGAGCTTAACCTTTGTCCGTTGGAGGAACGCTGCCTGGCGGTGCCCACTCCCTCTGTCTTGGCGAGGGACCCACCTTGGCGGGTCTCCTGCCCACCCGGCCCGAGTTGCACGGGGCGCGGCTGGGAGTCGCCTGTCCTCTGCACCCTCGTCCCCGAGTTCGGGACTCCCAGGACTCCTCCAGGCCAGGTCGGGAAAATCGGCGGGGCGAACACTTTCCTTGAGAAGACGGAATGTAGTCAGCGTTCCTCTGCCTGACTCAGCTCCTGGTATTCAGCTGGCTGGTTGCGTTCTTTAAACAAATAAACAGTTCTTACTTCCTTGAGAACACTTTTAAAGAAAAGCCTAGTCTCGTAAATAGTTTCTGATAATTTACTAGAAATTTGCAAGATGAACTTCGAAGCCAGTAAATTGTCGTAAGCTGCATTTAATGAAAGGCGCTTTAAACAATCTTTGGTGCAAATTATGTAACTTCCTAATAATAATAACTCACCTTATGGTTTAGTTCATTGACATACAGTAATGTGTAAGGAATTTAGGTTTCGGTCGAAAGGTTTTTGTTGGCAGTTGGCGCTAAACTTAAAATCTGATAGCTAGGAGGTTTTTAGAAGTAGTATATAGTGAGTGTTTTGTCTCCGTACTTGTTTAGAATTGTAAGAATTTAGATTTGGAAAGCTTCTAGAACAAGAATTTTGAAATTTTATATTTCCTGACAATGGGAAAGGCGTTAATATTTCTAATTTTTAAAGTAATAATCATGTTTTAATGATCGTATTATGCTTTTGGATTATACCAGAAGTTAATAACCTATTAAATTCTGCAATAGGAACAAATGACATGTTGGTTATTGGTGTCTTTGAAGTGTAAGTATTGGTGGTAATGAAATTGTTAAATAAGCTGTTTTTGGATTATGAACTGATATTTTTTACTGGATCTCCATGGACATGACATATTACAAGTTTTTAAAGGCTCTTTATTGTAGCAGGCTGAAGCTATTCAGTTGTAAGATCTTTATACCTGACACAGGCAAAAATAAGAAAAGCAATTCATCATTTTATCTTTGTTTTAAGAAAGCAAGTGAATCTTATGTGCTTGAATGACTTTTGGCTAGACAGAGCTGGACTTGACAAGTAAAGGGACTCCAATAGTAACTTGTTTTAGAAAGTTAAAATGGGACAGGATATGTTTTACCTGAGGGTGAATCAGGTTAATAGAATGGATTTAACTGTTTCTATATTCTTTCTGAATTATGATCTTGATTAAAAAGCTCATCAAAGATGTACCAAGAAATTTGGTTCATTTTATTTATCAATATCCTAAGATGTCCTGTTTCTCTGATAGTTTCTGATTTCAGGGTGTCTGGGAAAAAGTTTCTTGACATAGGTGCTTTAGAATATAATTTTTGATTATATACTTATTGAATCATAGAATTGTTGAGTTAGAAATAATCTTAGTGGTTGTATAGCCTAACCTCTTCATTTTCCAGGAAAAGAGTTTAATAGTCCATAGTTGGACTGCTAGTTAGTTGGCAGAGTTGGAACTAAATGCTAAAATGCTTGTCTCCAGATTCTATAATAAGTATGGTGCTCTCTTCACTATACACTATTGTTAAATAAATAAATAAACCAGTAAGTTATCCTTCTCAAAATCATCTATATGTAGCCAGCGGGGTTGATTCTTTCCCTTACTCATTTTTTTCCTTTCTTGGTTTAGTAACCACCAGCCACAATTAATTCATTCCCCTACTGAAGGGTTGTTTTCAGTTTTTCAATATTTCAGTGTTCAGTGACTATCCTGTGCATGTCTCCTTGAGCACCTGTGTGAAGGTTTCCCTAGAATATATACTTACCTGTAAGTTGAATTGCTTGGCTATATATAGGTTGATGTGCATTTTCAATTTTACTAGCTGCAGCCAGATTATCCTCTAAAGTTGTAACAATTTATATTTCTGCCAACAGTCTCTGAGTCATCCTTGCCGCACTTGGAATTGTCAGATTGGCATTGTCAGATTTTAAAATTTCTGCCAATCTGATGAATGAGAAATTATGTATTATATTTGTGTTCTTTCTTTCAAAAAGACTTTAACTTTATTTTTCATTTATGTGAAAGGAAATTAACTCTTTTCGTTGTATAGTGTTTTTGACAATGCATAAAGCTGTGTAACTACCACAGTCAAGATACAGAACAGTTCCAGCACCCAAAATTCCCTTAAGCTGCTCTTTGTAGTCAACCTTCCCTCAACCCTTAACCCCTAATCTGTTGTCTTTCTAGATAGGTTGTTTTTGTTTTTCTAGAATATCATATAAATGAAATCACACAGTATTTGCCTTTTGAGTCTGATTTCTGTCATTTAGCATAATTTATTTGAGTGTTCATATTTTTTGAGTGTATTAGCAGTTCCTTCTGTTTTATTGCTCAATATAGTATTCCACTGTATGGATGTACCACAGTTTGTTTATCCATCCACCAATTGAAGGACATTTGAGTTATTTTCAGTTTTTTTTATTAATATGAAAAAAGCTGCTTTAAATCATTGTGAACAAGTTTTGTGTGAACATTAGTTTTTGTTTCTCTTGGGTAAGCACTTTGAAGTGGAATTGCTGGGTCATATGGTCAGTGTATGTTTTACTTTGTTAAAACTGTCTGTGATAGGCAGAATAATGGCCCACATAGATGTCCTAATCCTTGGAACCTGTGAATAAATTAGGTTAGATGGCAAAGATGAATTACAGTTGCAGCCATCTGCAAAATAAGTCTTGAAATCAGACAGTGTGAGTTCTCCAACTTTGTTCTTTTTCAAAATTGTTTTAGCTATTCCATAGTAAAGTTGCTAATCAATTGACTTTAAAACACGGAGAGTATCCTGGATTATCCAGGTGGGCGCAGTGTATCACAAAGGTCCTTAAAAGGGAAAGAGAGAATCAGTAGAGTGATAAAAAAAAGATGTAACTACAGAAGCAGGGCCAGAGAGATGCAGAGTTCTTAGTTTTGAGGATGGAGGAAGAGGAGATGGGGGGCATAAGCTAAGGAATGTGGTGATTTGTAGAAGCTGGAAAAAGCTAGGAAATGGATTAACCTTTAGAGCCCCCAGAAAAGAATGCAGCTCTGCCAACACCTTGATTTTTAGCCCAGGGAGTCCTGAGTCAGAATTTTTTNTAAGAATGAAACTTCTCTCAGCTGCCTCTCCTAACGTAACTAATGCTGTGTGTGTGTGTGTGTGTGTGTGTGTGTGTGTGTGTGTGTGTGTGTGTGCTCGCACGCTAATGCGCGCACGCGTGCTCGTGCTCATTGGGGCTGAGTTTGCAGAATTGAAGGGAAGATTGGAGAACCAGGAGTAACCTTGGCAGGAATGACATGCTCATCTCAGCAGGCCTCTGATGATGGAATCAAGGTGCAAAGAAGGGCAAAAATGATGATATACATAGTAATATTTAAACCATGACATCCGAAATTTTAAAAAGTGGCTCCCAAATATTCAAACTGTGAATTGCTTATATGTGGGAAAAGGTAGGTGATTTTTTTAAATGATGGGAAAAAGCTTGTTACTAATAAAGACCATATTATTACAACTGAAGTAATGTGAAAGCAACTTGGCCTCATATTTCAATGAGTATACATAATGCGTATGTAAATCTCACATACATATGACTTATTTTAGGACTCTATTTAGCACAGATCAAGAACTTGCAAATAATTTGATGACATGCTTGTAAGTCTTAAAGAATAAAAGCCCATAATCTTAATCTTGACATCTTCCTATATTAGATTCTTACATTGGGTAGAAGCAGCTTAAAACAAAAATTTTAAGAAATTAAGAGGAGGTTCCTTTAATATTGCTTCAACCTCTAGATTTAAAAAATGAGAATTTAATCTGTCCAAAGGATCTTTATTATTACATTAAGAAGAAAAGCAGTATTATAAATGTAATTTTACTTTACTCATTTTTAGTTTTTTTAAAGTTTTTAACTTAAGAAAAATAACTGTATTCTGTATTTCAGGCTTTTGAATTAATTAAACGGACTTCTCCATCTTTTTTTTTTTTCCAGATAAACACAAACCACTAAACTGAAAAGCAAGCACAGCTCAAGAAATAACAACCAACACAAGGGAAAAACAAAGCAGCATCTCCCATGTGGCAGAAATAAAGTCGAATACTGATCATTAAGGATTAAATCTATGTCAATCTAATTTCCTAAATCTTAATTCCTGTGGATATCGATTTTTAAAGGAAGGTGGAGAACAATACAAAACAATAAGGTTTTCAATTCATCAGCTCAGTTGTAGGGCTTCTTTATGCTGTGGTTGTTGAAGAAAGTTGCTATCCTCTTTGGTTTTGCTTTTCTGTTTGGACGTTAGCCCAGCTCGATGTTATTTCTAACACTGGGCACTGTGGGGTCCTTGGCGGCGGGGACCATGTTCTTTCCATCTTTGTTTTGTAGCTGAGCACCTGGCCTGAGAGACAGTATTTATGGACTCAATGAATGCCATTTCAAACAGATTTTTAAAAACTCCCCATACTTTAAAAAATAATAAACTACAGACAGTCCCCATCCAAAGAATAGATTAAATTTTAAAAACCACCACCNGTAGATTGTTGGAGCAAAAATTAATATAAGACCCGGTCTTATTTTCAGGGAAACACGGTAGTATAATACTATACAAGTGACCTGCTTTTCAAAATAACGATTCACTTAACAGTAGTCAATAGATACTTAAGAGTTTATGAAAGGAAATTGGATAATTATTTGCAGGCATCCTAAAGGGGCAGTGTTCCTTTCATACTTGACCCTTTTATACTTTACCCTTTTATACTTGACACTTTATCCTTTTATACGTAAATTTTATAGTAAGGATAGTAGTTTGTTTGGCTAAATCACAGTACTTTGTGCTTCCCCCTAATTCCTACCGAGAATTCTGTCCCTTGCTCCATCTCTTAATGTGTTATGCAGTCTACTATGTCCTTTGTATGTCTTTCTAAATATTAACAACTACATTGCAAGGTGGTGGCTGTTTTTTATCAGTATTCTCCCTTTTACAAATGAGTAAACAGGTTCAGAGAGATTAAATATTTTATCCAAAATACTATTAAGTATGTTATCCGAAGTGACAAGACAAAGGAAAAGAGGTTTAGACTGTAGGGGCTGTAAGTGGTAGCCAAGATTTGAATTCCGTTTGACTCCAAAGTCCTTGGACTTTTCTACTTTGTATTTTTAGCCTGCCTTAAGTCTTACTTTGTTTAACACTCACTGTCTTTTTGGTAAGATTAAAATATTTTTAAGAAAGCCATTTTTAACTTAATGTTTAAGATGCACTTGAATTCGGGTGAAGAGCCTTGAATCTGTAAGCTCCTCAAGGGTAGGGGCCATGTCTTTTTATCTTAGTGTCTCACTGCTTCACGTGGTACATAGTAGATGCATGTTACCAGTTTGCACTTTTATCTTGTTTAAACTTTAGTCTTGCTTGTGCGCTTAATATCAGAGACTTTTATAACCCAGTCACCTCCTATAACCTGACAGAATTTGAGATTTAAAACATGATTCCATTTATCTTACGTGGGCCATAAATGTGTTTAGTGGTGGATTGAGGGGCGTGTGTGTCTAACTTTCACATGTTCTTTGTTAATTTTCCCTACAATGTTATAAATACAAACAGGAATTTATTAATGCCTTTTTCTTGCTTTTCTCTAGGCCTTCACTGACTGGCATTATAGCACAGTTACAGTCTTTGCATCAATTAAGTACTTGGACTATAATACCTTCTTGACTTCTTTGTGAGTCTGAGCAAGTTAATTTATCAAAGAGTGACTCCTTATCTGCAGAATGGAGATCATATTAGTACCTGATTCAGAGGGCTGTAGAGAAAGAAAAACCTTTTTCTCCGTCCTCTGAAGTTTACTGTCTGGGGCCCTATAAATTAAACTGACAAAAGACAGATTAACAAGAGAAATACGTTTGGAGGCCTTCATAGAAAAGAATTAAAGACCCAAAGAAGCAGTGAGATTGAGCAATAAATTGTGGGAAAATGACAAGACAAAGGAAAAGAGGTGTAGGCTTTTAGGGACTGTAAATTATGGGAAGGTAAATAAATATGTGGGGGAAATTAATGGAAGATCATGCTTATTTTAGTATGGTTTGTTATCCAGATTTAGATCAGTGCCTTCTCCATTGGAAAGAGTCAACTCAGGATTAAGAATCCTTCCTGGTATACGAATCAATGGAAATTTATGTTACCTTTACAAAGGGAAACATGCCTTGCTTTTTAGCCAGATAGGGGAGGACAGAGTTTTTTTATGTGTGTTTTCCTGCAGTTTCTTAATTGCCTTTAGCTCAAAATAATCTTTATGCCAAAGTGCTACATTTTGAGGTAGCATATCCTGATCCCCTTCAGAGCCTTATTTTAAGGATTAATTGAGATGACACATCAAGAATGTTTAGCATAATGCACGGTGTATATTAAGCATTCCATAAATGTTAGATAAGTGGGTAGAATACAAACCTGGTTTGTGACATTCACATGGGATGGCAATAAACTTCATTATGTTTTAATACATATATTTTGATTAGATTATGTGATTATCATTTGATTAAGCAAATTTTGCAGGAATTGTGTGAATTAGTTGTCACAGACTGAGTCAGTGCTGAATAATTATAATTGTGTGTTGAGATAAAGTTTTTTTTATCTCTGAAATAGTGGAAGTCAATGAGGGATAACAATTTTTGCCATACTTATAAACAGCTTACTTGTCTAGTGAGATCAAGTTTTACTCAGCTTTGTCAGTGTGTCTTAGTGACTCTGAAGCATTACTTCAGGGCGTTTTTCACTAGGTTATTTTTACTAAATATTTTAAAATAGATTTAAAAGGTGACATAGTTTGCAGACTTGAGTTGTGTTATGGTGATTTAAATCACGTTCAGATAAAACATTTGTTTAATTTTACTGATACCAATCAATGTGGTTATGTTAATATTTTGCTTACTTTTTTTCTCCTTTTGTGTAATGGATGCCTTTCAAATACTCTTTCCTATTTATACAAGTTTTTTTAGGATTTTTCTTCCTCTTTAGGTAACTCCTATAGCATTTTCTGCAGTTGTAGTACAGCACTTACCAAATACCATTGCAATTGTATAGGGGTTTTGTTTGCTTGTTTACTTATCTAATTTCTGTACTATAAGTTTCTTTTTCTTGTCAAGGAGTATCCAAGGTTTTGTACCAAGTGGGTACTTATGCTGTTGTATGACAGTATAGTTGAGTAACTTTTTTAACAGTAGAATTTGCAGTATAGTAGTCCCTCTTATCCATGGTTTTGCTTTACGTGGTTTCAGTTACCTGTGGTCAACTGCAGTTTGAAAAAATTAAATAGAAAATTCCAGAAATAAACAATTCACAAGTTTTAAATTGTGCCTCATTCTGAGTAGCATGATTCACGTCCCCACCCTATGCTGCCTGCCCACTGGTTACTTAGTAGCCATTTCCATTATCAGATCAAGTATTGGAGTATCACAGTGTTGGTGTTCAAGTAACCCTTACTTTATACTTAATAATGGTCCCAAAGTGCAAGAGTAGTGATGCTGGCAATTTGGATATACCAAAGAGAAGCTGTAAAGTGCTTCCTTTAAATGAAAAGGTAAGTATCGTATAGTAAGATATTTTGAGAGAGAGACCACATTCACATAATTTTTATTACAGTTATTGTTATAATTGTCCTATTTTGTTATTAGTTATTGTTGTTAATTTCTTACTGTGCCTAATTAATAAACTTTGTCATAGGTATATATGTATAGGAAAAAATAGAGTATATGTAAGGTTGGAAGCTATCTGTGGTTTCTGGCATCCAAGGGGGAGGGGGGTTGAAACGCATACCCCATGAATCAGGGATATCTGCTGTATAGTAATCTTTAAAATTGACCTTTCATTCCCGTTTCTTGTTGCATAATATGCCCCAGTATGTTTTTCTGCCTTCTGAGACTATCTGGTCAAGATCAGAGCATGGCTCATACCCTCAGTAAGCAATCCTGCAGTACGAGAAGTTCAGTGGATTCTAAACTTGGTGACGTTTGTATCCTCATCGGTCTTCTCAGTTTCTGCTCCTTCCCTGTTCTGATGACACAGCCCTACTTCTGATCCTGAACACATTCTCTTCTCACTTCTTTAGTCTAGCTTATGGGTAACAACAGATACGAATCTTTATTATGAATTTTGCTTAATGTTCTTGTTCTAATAACTCTGAAATGGTTATTTGGTGTTTCTTCAGTGACGAGGCAAACTATTCCCTCTTTTATTTTTTTATTTCTTTTATGGCCAGTTGTTGAATTGCATACCAATAAGCCATGTAGATAGAGGTAACCATCTACTAATTTACTGACCTTTGGAACATATTTTTTTCTCTAGTAAGCTATAAATCACTTGAGGTCAAAAGTTGGAATCTTATAAAATGTTTTTAGAGACCTAATCTTGTGACAAGTAATTGACTAAAGGATTGACACCCAAGATTAAAGGGGATAGAGAAAATCTATGTGGAATAGGCATAGAAATAGGCATCTAGAAAGCAAAGCTATGGGAGTTTGTAATTAGAATTCTTTGAAGGTTGTAATTGTGAGTTATTAACATGATGAAAGAATAGATGCAATCAAAATTATGACAAAGCTCTGGAACTTCTACTACAGGACGGGCCCAAAGGCAGCAATTTTGTTACTACATTTTAAAGTGTTGGTGGTCTCTATTGGAATTTTTCTTATAACTAATGCCCTTATTCCTTTAGTAAACTGTTTACTCTCATTTTTAAATTAAAGATGTAATATATTCATTTTTGTGTGGTAGAGGAAGTCCTGACTACTGAGTCATGATTCTAATAATTGCTTACGTGCTTTATTTAGGAATTCCTAGTTTATTGTTGCACTGTTTATGAAATTGTTTAGGGCCTTAGGGATAATATTTTGAATACTTGACTAAGGTTCTAGCACCCTTGAAAGGGCTGTGTTGCTGCTGCTAGTTTTTATAGACTTTTAGAAGGTAGTTGTAATTTAAAGTTTCTACATTTCTTTCAAAACAATAGTAATATCTTGGTGTTTTCCCCCAGATTATAAAAGTAACATTTTTTGGTCAATATTTTGTGAGATATCCTAGTACAGAAGTATAAGTAGAAAATGAGACC